AGCCTCTGAGAATTTCCTATCAGGCCTGGGCTGGAAGATAACAAACACTTTCTTAATCTTCTGTCTGAAGCTTCGCTTCAATCGGAAAGGGAAGCTATCGCCCCTCGCAGTGCCCGCCCTCCCCAACACCACTGGCTCCATGCAAATGCTATTTGGAACTGAAAAAAAATGTGAGTGCAGAAGAGGAGGCAGAAGCTTCTGCACCCTGCTGAGGAGGCCGAAGCCCTCACACTTCCTCCAAATGACTCCTCACACTTCCTGAGGTGAGCAGAGAAAGCTCAGGCGCCACCACGCTGAGGCTGCCTGCAGAATCGAGTCTTGAAATTTTAGAAGTCAGTGAGGCATAGGACACAGTGTGCTACCTGTGTTTTCAAATTAAAGACGTTCATTGAAATTTAGTTTGTAGAAAGGTATGGCTAATTTTCTTTTCTTTTTTTTTTTTTAATTAAACAGGGTCTTGCTAAGTTGCCCAGGCTGAGCTCAAACTCGTGATCCTCCTGCCTCAGCCTCCCAGCGTGCTGGGATTCCAGGTGTGCATCAGCGGACTTTGAGCACCCAGGACCAAGCGAATCGTGCTGTCCGGTAGTAATGCCCATAGGAATTGTCACAACAGCGCTCGGAGTTGTGCGCTGGTTGTTAGGTGCTTTTCTAAGCCCTTCCCTCAGAACTGATTTCCTGTCTAACACCTACTCTATGGTTAAGCCCGTTTTCTAAGTGAGAAAACTCAGACACCCAGCAATGAAATGACAGCTGCGGTTCCACAGTTACCCAACGAGGCAGACAAGTTCGGAACCCCAGCAACCAGCTTCCTAAGAAGGAAAGGGAGTCTCGAAAATACGTTCTGGCATGAAAATACTCGTCAAAAGTTGTTTTTCTCTGAAGACAGTTTGGTATTCAAAAAGAATCCAGTCACTCAGACAATGCATATGTACTGAATGTCTTCTACAGCGTCCCAGCTGGCAGGAATAAGATGGTAATTAAAATAGGTCTGGTCCATCCACAAATATATATTCTCTCTCCCTCTCCCCCTCTCCCCTCTCCCCCTCTCCCCTACCCCCCTCCAGGGTCTTGCTGTGTACCCCGGGCTGGCCTTGAACTCACAGCAACCCTCCTGCCTCAGCCTCCCAAGTGCTGGATTACAAGTGTGCACCACTACCCCCAGCACTCTTCCACATTGCAAACATGCTCTTCCAGGTTACTAGTCCAAACTCACAGAATATGGTAATGAATGTCGACTGAAAATGGACTCTAAGTCACTAGATTACAGGGTGTTGCTGAAGGCATAATCAAATTCTTGACCACTGAGGTGCTGCCCAATAAACACGGTCACTGAGTTTAAAATTTTCAGAGCTTTAATCCCGCAGACAGCTTATTATAGAGATTCTAGACCATAACTATCCTAATGCAGTTAATTATCCTATAGATATTGGTGCAATAACTACCCTAATATATATCCTAATATATTATCCTAATATATATCTGGGAAGTAAAAATGATTAATTCCATTTTCTAATTACAACAAAATAGTTAACATATTCAGCGCTGAACATCCGCTAAGCATTGTGCTATACGTGTTGCATGTCTATATCCTTTTATTTTAGTAGCAGCCCCGAGTACTATCCTATTCCCATCTTACAGATGAGGAAACTGAGACCTAGGAAGGTCAAACAACAACTTCTCAGCACGTCGCTATGATCTGTACCAGGTCTGCTCGGTTGCGGAACTCGAACTCCTCATTCCACGTTAACTGCACTGCGCTTGGCTGCACTTAGAAAGCCCACCACGGCCTTCAGGGGAGGAGCAATGGCTCTGTCAGCCTGATACCAGGGAGCGGGTAGACCAGAAGTCTCTAACTTGGAGTCCACAGTTGGCTTCAGGGGAGCCGTAAACTCAGATTGGTGAAAAATAGTATGTGTTTTCTGTCCATTTGGATAGGCGTCCATAAATTTCGTTAGTGAAAGCAAAGCCCCCTACTCCCCCACCAACGATAAGACCTCCAGGGATTTAGCTCAGCAGCACAGAGCCTGCCTGGCAAGCATGAGGTAGTGAGTTCGAGTCCTGGCACACACACAAAACAAAAAAAATAAGACTCACTGACTTAGCTGAACGGGGCCTTTAATGGCATTGTAAAAATGAACAATCCAGAAAGGTCGCCATCTGTGATGCTATAAATCTAGAGCATCCGTAAGATTCTTTTCCACCTCTGATTTATTAAGGGTGTTATTTTACCTGGGACTTACAGCAGTGTAACACACACCACACACTCCCGCCTGGGTGAGCCAGCTGCAGGACAAACCCCAAACCTCCTCGATGCCTGAGGGGGCTGCCATCGGGGCTTCGCCTCTGTGCCTGGAACACATGGGCTAGGGACCCCCTCAGTGCGCCCGCTCCTCCACTTCTCCAAGAGGACCTCTGTTCCCTGCTCCAGGCTGTCTCCAAACAGACTGCGAAGACCAACACTGAAATGTTACTCGGCCATCAGAAATGGAGGCCTGGGGTGAAAGGGCCGCCTGGTGGAGCATGGCTTCGGCGGTGACGGCAGGACCAGGAAAAGCCTTGCATCTGCTCTTGGGCAGAGCACCACCTGGAAAGGGCAGATTTACACCCAAGGAAACGACCTTGGTGAGCCACGCTAGGCCCCTTTCTCACCCGGAAAGAGTCCCACTGACAACCAGCGTGTCACCTCCTGCCTCACAGAGGTGCGAGTGAGTGACCAAGGGGATGTGGCCAGGAACATCCAAGAGCAGGTCTGGGAACACAGCGCCCTCTGGTGGAAGCCTCACTTAAGAAGCCGGGTTGGGGCTTCAGGCCCAGGCAGCAAACGGAAGAGCCTTCCAGAGGGCCAGCCCTCCCTCCAGCCCCAGTTCCTTCAGTGCCCTCCAGGGTACTAGTGCCCTCCTACAGTTGGGTCCAGAATGCGAGACATCTGCTGGGCGTGCTAGTGGTGCACACTTGTAACCCCAGCATTCAGGAGGCTGAGGCAGGAGGATCGCTGAGTTTGAGGATAACCTAGGCTACTGAGGGAGTTCAAAGTCAGCCTGAACTGCATAGTGAACACCATCTCGTAAAGACAAGAGGGAGAGAGAAGGAGGGAGGGACAGAGGGAAAGAGAAGGGAGAGGGAAGGGGGAGAGGGAGCAGGAGAGGGAGCAGGAGAGGGAGCAGGAGAGGGAGAGGGAGGAAAGAGGGAGGCGAGAGGAAGAGAGGGAGAGATTTGTATATAAAGAAATTACTGTCTGAGGTGTTAAGCAATACTGTGGGAACTCAAGTAATAAAGGAGCTGCCATCAGAAGGTCCGGGTTCTTTGGGGGTGCAACATTTCTGTACTCCTGACGGACCTACCTTGGGCAACCCCACAGTGTTGCCTCATTTCACAAAATGTAGTGATTGCAACTAAACTTTTTTTAAATGTATTTGGTACAGGGTCTCACAACACAGCTCAGACTCGTAATGATCCCGTTTTCAGCCTCCCCAGCACTGAATTACAGGCTTGTGCCACCATGCCCAGACTCGGTGGCCAGCTCAGTGTGCCCAGGGGTGGGGCCGGAGCGGCATGTGGTGCCGGGGATCGAAGCCCAGCCCCTGCACTTGCCTAAGCAGGTGCTTTAGTCCACTGAGCTATCTCGCTGGCCCATTTGCTTATTTTTGTTGTTTTGTTTTTGCAGTTCTTGGGACTGAACGCCAGGGTGCCCTGCTGCTGAACTACATCCCTACCCCTTGTTGTTGTTCAGGCTGGTCTTGAACTTGAGAGCCTCCTGCCTCAGCCTCCTTGGCAGCTAGCTTGCTTATCTTTAGAGATAATGATCTCCACTGTGATCAAACCCTGCAGAGTCCTGCAGCGTGCCCAGGAGAGGGAGGAGCTAGAAGGCCAATGGGCTACGTGGGCGCGAAGAAGCCACGTGAGAACAGGCTGGGGGCAGATGCAAGAGACGCCTTTGGGGTCCAGATTTGTGTGTCAGGGCAAACAAGGCCCTACGGGCACACAGGGAATTCAGCTGCTGATCCTAGCTTAACACTATGGCTCCTCGCCTGTCATCCTGTCCGTGTGGGGCCTAATTTTGTTCTACTATTTTTCTGGCCTCAGTCAGCAGCTCCCCTCCGGCCCCTGGGACACCTCGCGGTCCGATGAGCGAATGACTGGTAGCTATAGGACTGCGTGGTGCCACTCTCACTGGGTTTTGTAGCCAGGAAGATGTCTAGGATTAGGGAGGAAAACACGAAGCCGGGGAGGCCGTGTGGATACACCACGGGCATTAGCAGTCCACCCACGAGGCCAGCCTCCGTTTATCTTGGGCAGAATCAGGGGCAGGCTTGGAAATGTGACAGTCATTTGAAAATGAAACTTTTTAAAGAAAAAAAATTAAAGTTTACTCCTTGGGAAACTCTTTCCCACTATCAGGCTTTGATTTCACTGCTGTTATGAGCCCCGTCCTAGCATTCACCTGAGGACAAATGTTGTATTAATAAAAGAAGGCAGGTGCAGTGGCGCATACTTGGAATCTCAGCTACCGAGGAGGCTGAGGCAGGAGGATCAGAGCCCAGCCTGAGCAGCTCAGCCAGAAGAGCCTGCCTCGAAGCTGAAAAACCAATAAGGAGGGGTGGAGGTGCAGCTCCGAGGCACAGCAGCCCTGGGTTCAAGCCCCAGTGTCTCGAGCAGATTTCCTAACATCAGCCCCCAAACGCATCCCGTGTGGCTCAGGTTCAGAACACTGCACCCCTCTTCTCAGTAAGGGTGAAGTGGGTACGGCTGTGCTTTTCATCAGACACTGTGGACGCAGTGCAGAGCACAGGAAGCCCGAGGCCCAGCGCAGCTGAGACGATCAAGCAGTGGGGTAGGGACGAGATCAGACCCGAACACTCGGGCAGGGACATCTGGGGTGCGGAGAACCCAGCTCGGGGAGCTGCCAACACCTGTCTGCCCGCCTGTGCTCAGGGTGCCTCCGGGAGGCCTGGCTCAGCTGAAGGAGTGGCCCGCAGGGACCGCAAGGGGCCCAGGCAGGCGCAGAGGGCAGCTTCGTGGTCAGGATGCCCCGAGCCTGTTTTCCCTCGTATGTTCGCAGGGGCGATAGAAAGAGCTGGTAATGACAGGAGGGCTGGCAGGGGACACATGGAGACCAAGCGCAGGCCTTCCGGTTGGCTGAGGCGGGAGCCGGGATGACGCAGCAGCAGCAGCAGCAGCGACCCAGGAGTGGCATTTTCTCCAACACTGACTGCTGTCAGACAGAAGCAGGGACGGCAGGCAGCTGAACTTCTACGTGGTGGGGGGTGTTCCGAGCTGTGGGATAAAAGGACAATAGAAGAAAAGGAGGAGAGGGACACAGAGGTCTGGGGGCTCAGGCCGACCAGGGTGCGCCCCAGCCCCTCCCCCGCCAGCACGTCCATCCTTGCACCCCACCTTCCTCTCCCTACCACACAGTGACTTTGCCGTGCCTGTCCCTGAGCCCAAAGGAAGCAGCACGTAAGGCTCACTTAGAGAGGCAGCCTGACAGCCATGCCTGCGGGCGCAGCCTGTGAGCCCAGCACTCGGGAGGCCGAGGCAGGAGGATGCTCACACGCTCGAGGCCCATCTGAGCTGGACGGCAAGACTTTGTCTCCAGAACGAAACAAAAACAGAGACAGCCCAGGAGTAGAGGGTAGAGTACATGTCAAGCAGGTGAGGGGACCCACGGCAGAGGCGGGGGCAGAGTAAAGCACCTAAGAAACACTCTGAATTCACTCCAGGTACAGTGGGGAAGAGGGGGTCTCATTTTCCAGGAAAAGGAAAAAGAGGTAAGAACAGTCTCTTGTATATTAAAAAATAAAAAGAAAGAAAGAAAAACGAAATCTTATCCAAACAAATAATTTCTTTCTTTCTTTCTTTTTTTTTTTTTGCCAGACGAGATTGACCATAAAATGACTGACAAAAATATGCTTCAAAAGACACGACCAAATACACAGCGCAGTGGCAAGAATCCAATACATAAATACGATCCATTTGTTCCCTCATTAAAAGCGCGCATGGAGAACATGATTTAATACAAAAAGGCTAAAGCTACTGCCACAGATTAATTGAAAAGTAACAACAGAACCCTAATTAAAATTGTGGAGTTATTTTACTCACACAGCACCAGAATCTGAATAAACAAATAAAAACAAAATCTAGAAAGCAGGTTTCTATTGGTAACCACTTAAACAATTACAATGATGTATTGAAATTTGCATAAAAACTTCCACTCACACGTGCACACTTTAGGTAGGACCTGAAATGCACACGGGAGTTCAGAAATTGCTTTTAGGGCGGGCCAGATAGCTCAGCAGCAACAGAGACCAGGGTTCCATCCCCGGCGTGTGGTCCCCAAGGCCACTGAGACTGGGCGTGGTAGCGCATGCCTGTAATTCCAGAGCTGGGGAGGCTGAGGATCACTACGAGTCCGATCTGTGTAGTGAGACCCTGTAGACCCTGCACTAAATACATTTAAGAAAAAAAAGAAAGAAAAGAAATTGCCTTTAAATAATTTTCCTAAATTCACATCAACCAACTTATTCCAGACTATTGTCGTGGCCCTCAATCTCACTCTCCTCCTTTACTGTACAAGATTCTGCATGAAAGTATCAATCCTTCCTATCCATTTCTCTTTTTAAATTTTTCTTTAGCAGCCCAGGTTGGCGGTGCCTAATAGCTGTGTCCCCCTCGGGGCCGGTGCCTGCACACATCTCCACTTTCTATCCTTCCCCTTCCTGTCCCTTCCCTCCCTCATCTCCCTCCACCTCTTAGTTCTCTTTTGCAAAAGATCAATCTTCCTATCTCCTGTCATCTAGCTTTTCTTTTTTGCTCTTTCCGGGAAGTGCCAGAGGCGGTGTCTGGAACATCCCCTCCTCCTCCTGCTCACCCCGAGCAGCTTGGGCACAGCGGCTGGTCCTCCTCCCTGCTGGCGCGGTCCTTCCCAGTCAGAATTTCCCAGTTCTCCTGATCTCCGAAAGTGGAAGCACAAAGCCAGAGTTAACCATACACAGGACGGCCGGGCGTTGTGAGAACTCGCTCCGCGCGGGCTCGGCAGGACAGGCAGACGCTGCTAACAAATTTTAACTTGGTAAACAAGCAAGGTCCCGCCTTGTGAGCAGTATGCGAGGCTGCGTCACACAGGAGGCGGCGCGTCACGCGAGGCTGCGTCATACAGGAGGCGGCGCGTCACGCGAGGCTGCGTGTCACGCGAGGCTGCGTCACACGGGAGTTGGTGCGTCACGCGAGGCTGCGTCATACGGGAGGCGGAGCGTCACGGGAGGCTGCGTCACGCGAGGCTGCGTCACGCGAGGCTGCGTCACGCGAGGCTGCGTCACGCGAGGCTGCGTCACGCGAGGCTGCCACGTGATGCGGAATGCCACGTGATACCGGCCACACCTGAGCCAGTGCGCTCTTTGCGTTTCTTCGTTATTTTGTACTATGGTGCAGCTCTGTAATCGCTCGTGTATGGATCAGTTTGGACTGTGGAGTGAATGATGTGAGTGTCCGTGATTTCTTGTAGTGGAATCAGCAGTGCCTTGAATTACAAGCATGTTCCCCGAACGGACCGCGCTTGCAAACCAAGGCTTTACTGTGCTTCCCATGAACTTCAAGCTCTGAAACAAGTAGACCACCAAACTGTGCACACGACTCATGTGCAGCGTTTCACGTACCAGCAGTGGCTCGATCAAGCTGAAAATGGTAAGAATAAAAGAAATATAGGAAGGTGTTTGGAGTGCTCCTGTTGGGCTGGGCGCGGTGGTACACATC